TTATCCCAACAGTAACTGACAATGTTATCAGACCGGTACAGGTTTATCCTGACAGTAACAGACAATGTTATCAGACCGGTACAGGTATAACCTGACAGTAACTGACAAGGTTATCAGACCGGTACAGGTTTATCCCAACAGTAACTGACAATGTTATCAGACCGGTACAGGTTTATCTCAACAGTAACTGACAATGTTATCAAACCGGTACAGGTATAACCTGACAGTAACAGACAAGGTTATCAGACCGGTACAGGTTTACTCCAACAGTAACTGACAAGGTTATCAGACCGGTACAGGTTTATCTCAACAGTAACAGACAATGTTATCAGACCGGTACAGGTTTAACCTGACAGTAACAGACAATGTTATCAGACCGGTACAGGTTTACTCCAACAGTAACTGACAAGGTTATCAGACCGGTACAGGTTTATCTCAACAGTAACTGACAAGGTTATCAGACCGGTACAGGTTTATCCTGACAGTAACTGACAATGTTATCAGACCAGTACAGGTTTACTCCAACAGTAACTGACAAGGTTATCAGACCGGTACAGGTTTATCCCAATAGCAACTGACAAGGTTATCAGACCGGTACAGGTTTATCCCAATAGCAACTGACAAGGTTATCAGACCGGTACAGGTTTATCCTGACAGTAACAGACAAGGTTATCAGACCGGTACAGGTTTACTCCAACAGTAACTGACAATGTTATCAAACCGGTACAGGTATAACCTGACAGTAACAGACAAGGTTATCAGACCGGTACAGGTTTACTCCAACAGTAACTGACAAGGTTATCAGACCGGTACAGGTTTATCTCAACAGTAACAGACAATGTTATCAGACCGGTAAAGGTTTAACCTGACAGTAACAGACAATGTTATCAGACCGGTACAGGTTTACTCCAACAGTAACTGACAAGGTTATCAGACCGGTACAGGTTTATCCCAACAGTAACTGACAAGGTTATCAGACCGGTACAGGTTTATCCTGACAGTAACTGACAATGTTATCAGACCAGTACAGGTTTACTCCAACAGTAACTGACAAGGTTATCAGACCGGTACAGGTTTATCCCAATAGCAACTGACAAGGTTATCAGACCGGTACAGGTTTATCCCAATAGCAACTGACAAGGTTATCAGACCGGTACAGGTTTATCCTGACAGTAACAGACAAGGTTATCAGACCGGTACAGGTTTACTCCAACAGTAACTGACAATGTTATCAGACCGGTACAGGTTTATCTCAACAGTAACTGACAATGTTATCAGACCGGTACAGGTTTACTCCAACAGTAACAGACAATGTTATCAGACCGGTACAGGTTTACTCCAACAGTAACTGACAAGGTTATCAGACCGGTACAGGTTTATCTCAACAGTAACTGACAAGGTTATCAGACCGGTACAGGTTTATCCTGACAGTAACTGACAATGTTATCAGACCAGTACAGGTTTACTCCAACAGTAACTGACAAGGTTATCAGACCGGTACAGGTTTATCCCAATAGCAACTGACAAGGTTATCAGACCGGTACAGGTTTATCCCAATAGCAACTGACAAGGTTATCAGACCGGTACAGGTTTACTCCAACAGTAACTGACAATGTTATCAGACCGGTACAGGTTTAACCTGACAGTAACAGACAAGGTTATCAGACCGGTACAGGTTTACTCCAACAGTAACTGACAAGGTTATCAGACCGGTACAGGTTTAACCTGACAGTAACTGACAATGTTATCAGAACGGTACAGGTTTAACCTGACATTAGCAGACAATGTTATCAGACCGGTACAGGTATAACCTGACAGTAACAGACAATGTTATCAGACCGGTACAGGTTTATCTCAACAGTAACTGACAAGGTTATCAGACCGGTACAGGTTTATCTCAACAGTAACAGACAATGTTATCAGACCGGTACAGGTATAACCTGACAGTAACAGACAATGTTATCAGACCGGTACAGGTTTATCTCAACAGTAACTGACAAGGTTATCAGACCGGTACAGGTTTATCTCAACAGTAACAGACAATGTTATCAGACCAGTACAGGTATAACCTGACAGTAACTGACAATGTTATCAGAACGGTACAGGTTTATCCCAATAGCAACTGACAAGGTTATCAGACCGGAACAGGTATAACCTGACAGTAACAGACAAGGTTATCAGACCGGTACAGGTTTACTCCAACAGTAACAGACAATGTTATCAGACCGGTACAGGTATAACCTGACATTAACTGACAATGTTATCAGACCGGTACAGGTTTACTCCAACAGTAACTGACAAGGTTATCAGACCGGTACAGGTTTATCTCAACAGTAACTGACAATGTTATCAGACCGGTACAGGTTTAACCTGACAGTAACAGACAATGTTATCAGACCGGTACAGGTTTACTCCAACAGTAACTGACAAGGTTATCAGACCGGTACAGGTTTAACCTGACAGTAACTGACAATGTTATCAGAACGGTACAGGTTTAACCTGACAGTAACAGACAATGTTATCAGACCGGTACAGGTATAACCTGACAGTAACAGACAATGTTATCAGACCGGTACAGGTTTATCTCAACAGTAACTGACAAGGTTATCAGACCGGTACAGGTTTATCTCAACAGTAACAGACAATGTTATCAGACCAGTACAGGTTTACTCCAACAGTAACAGACAATGTTATCAGACCAGTACAGGTTTATCCCAACAGTAACAGACAAGGTTATCAGACCGGTACAGGTTTACTCCAACAGTAACTGACAATGTTATCAGACCGGTACAGGTATAACCTGACAGTAACAGACAAGGTTATCAGACCGGTACAGGTTTATCTCAACAGTAACTGACAATGTTATCAAACCGGTACAGGTTAAACCTGACAGTAACAGACAATGTTCTCAGAACGGTACAGGTTTACTCCAACAGTAACAGACAATGTTATCAGAACGGTACAGGTTTATCCCAACAGTAACTGACAATGTTATCAAACCGGTACAGGTTTAACCTGACAGTAACAGACAATGTTCTCAGAACGGTACAGGTTTATCCCAACAGTAACTGACAATGTTATCAGACCAGTACAAGTTTAACCTGACATTAACTGACAAGGTTATCAGACCGGTACAGGTATAACCTGACATTAACTGACAATGTTATCAGACCGGTACAGGTATAACCTGACAGTAACAGACAAGGTTATCAGACCGGTACAGGTTTATCCCAACAGTAACAGACAATGTTATCAGACCAGTACAAGTTTAACCTGACAGTAACAGACAAGGTTATCAGACCGGTACAGGTTTACTCCAACAGTAACTGACAATGTTATCAGACCGGTACAGGTTTATCCTGACAGTAACTGACAATGTTATCAGAACGGTACAGGTTTAACCTGACAGTAACTGACAATGTTATCAGAACGGTACAGGTTGATCCCAATAGCAACTGACAAGGTTATCAGACCGGTACAGGTTTACTCCAACAGTAACTGACAATGTTATCAGACCGGTACAGGTTTATCCCAACAGTAACTGACAATGTTATCAAACCTGTACAGGTTTATCCCAACAGTAACTGACAATGTTATCAGACCGGTACAGGTATAACCTGACAGTAACAGACAAGGTTATCAGACCGGTACAGGTTTATCTCAACAGTAACTGACAATGTTATCAAACCGGTACAGGTTTAACCTGACAGTAACAGACAATGTTCTCAGAACGGTACAGGTTTACTCCAACAGTAACAGACAATGTTATCAGACCGGTACAGGTTTATCCCAACAGTAACTGACAATGTTATCAAACCTGTACAAGTTTATCCCAACAGTAACTGACAATGTTATCAGACCGGTACAGGTTTATCTCAACAGTAACTGACAATGTTATCAAACCGGTACAGGTTTAACCTGACAGTAACAGACAATGTTCTCAGAACGGTACAGGTTTACTCCAACAGTAACTGACAAGGTTATCAGACCGGTACAGGTTTACTCCAACAGTAACAGACAATGTTATCAGACCGGTACAGGTTTAACCTGACAGTAACAGACAATGTTATCAAACCGGTACAGGTTTATCCTGACAGTAACAGACAATGTTATCAGACCGGTACAGGTTTACTCCAACAGTAACTGACAAGGTTATCAGACCGGTACAGGTTTATCCCAATAGCAACTGACAAGGTTATCAGACCGGTACAGGTTTATCCCAACAGTAACTGACAAGGTTATCAGACCGGTACAGGTTTATCCCAACAGTAACTGACAATGTTATCAGAACGGTACAGGTTTATCCCAATAGTAACTGACAATGTTATCAGATCGGTAAAGGTTTAACTTGACAGTTACGGGCAGTTTCCCCGACATAATCAGGCATTTGCTTCATGTACACAACCGATGAATATCTGCGCTTACATGAATTTCCATTACATTTACACCAGCATTATCATTCTTCTACACGACACAGAACTTAGATATCCAGTGTGCATGTACATATTTATTATTGAAGTACACAAAAAACCAATTAGGACGAAATCTGATGGAACATATAGAATTTAATGACCAAATGAAATACATCATCAGGTTTTTAATAAATCAAAGCACATACAGACCAAAGTGTTGCCAGCTATGGGAATGAAATGATAATTACTCATTTCTGTGGAAAAAATCATGATATATCTGGTGGATTACATAAAGCCGATCTTCCCGCCGAACGGATTTTCTCTAGCTCTAATGTGAACTTGTAGTTCTTGTAATCTGTCTCGTACACATTGCCAAATTATTAATAAATCTTGTCCATAAAGATATGAAGGAAACATTTCTTTACTTATTACCTAACTAACGAACATCATGTTTGCCTCTAAGATATTGTGTTACTTCGTGTCGATACACAATTTTACTCAAGCCTGGACGGATTTCTTACCAACTCAGTTCTACGCAGGAATGATTTAAAAAAAAAAAAAAAAAAAACAATTGTCTTTGTACAATACCTGTAGCAATTTTGAGAGTATGCGTCTTTCTTCCGGTGTCCTGCCATCAGGTGCTTCACGGAGTCTCCTTCTTAAAGGAATACCGTTTCCGCTTTCATTCAAATCTTGCAACATTTTAAAGTCTTTGTGAAAATCTGCCTCTACACCATCCCAGTACGACTGAATCGCGGCTCTCACTATTTCTGTGTTGGATTCGCGATGGATCAGGAACATTCCGACAGACACCGATATCGTTAACGCACATAACAAACTATATAGAACCTTAATGTGATAATATAACTTCTCTGTCCCATCCGTTGGAGGTGCCATGTTTTGTTCCAATCTACTTTCGAGAGAAAGAAAGAAGACCAACGTACAAGAACAACATCTGGGGTCTGTAGATATTTACTATACACTCTCGCGAAATTAGCTGACCCCATGAGTTGTTGATTAAAAATAGATAGCCGGGGACACAGGTTCAGGATAAAACCGCATCTTAAAGTCAAAAACTCGAAACACGGTTTTATTCTCTAAGAATGGAAACCATTTTTATCGAGTAACTATGATATTAAACAAGCAATAATTCTTATTTCATACCAACACATTAATATCAAATGCTTCCGAACTTACTGACATTGCGGCAATTTATGTTATCGATATTTTGTTAAGATAACAATGCTTTGAGAAGTTCTCTGTACATTACGCTGCTTCAGTTTATCTCATTATATTGGCTGTTATAAACACCCTAATTATCCATTATCATCTCAAATATGATAAGCAACGAAAATTACCTCCCTTCATTAAAACGTGATATTTGCCTAGCGAGCACACATCTTCTGATATACATATTAGTTAAAACACTGGTGACAGATTTCGGCACATCCTATAACAAATTGAAAGCTTAGTAGTTGGTTCATTAATGTAGTCGTAGACTCAACATGGTTGTTACTTTTTTCTGATGTATAGTTTAAAAAGAAAGCTGTAAATCTATTGACTGCTATTTTAATTTATAGTTAAATTAAGCCGTGTTAACCGTTAAATCTAGACAAAATATCGGTTAATGTCTGCGTCATAAAGCAGCATTTTTGGCAAATTTCTTAAAAGTACACGATTCAACAAACATTTGACTTAAAGGCTAGTCTTCTCAATAGTACAGAATCCCGGACTATTAGAAACGATTCCATTTTATTTCATAGATCAAGATGGCCTCGCTTCCAACGACAAACGAATAACCATGACAATATCAATTTTTAAAAAAAGTCTTGATTGTTCTTCTACGCATTTCTTATGATATCGCCTGTAATAATAACGAAGAATTCCAGACCGTTATATTCTTGCTGACAATCAACTTGAAATCAATTACCGTCACGGTATTGTGGCTCTTAAGATCAAAGTGCTTCATCTGAGTTTTGAAGATAAATAAATGCAGATATTTAAATTTACATGATCAGCGCCTTTGTTGCAAATCATTCCTTCACATGTACAACGAACGTTTATTTCTGAAGAAACTTGGATACTGTTGTCCATTTTAAAAAGTGATAAAAATCCTATTTAATGCAAGTCAGATTTTCTACGACTGAAATACATGATAACTCAATCATTAGTTATAGAAACAGAAGTAACAGAACGACATACAACTTCCACGTATTACAGTAAAACCTACAGTCCGTATCATATATGTTTAATTCAATACGTGTCTATGGTTTTACTACCTTTGAAATATCAACCATAGTAAGACAGTGTCCGAACTGTCACCTAGTCAATTGGCTGAGTGGTATGGCACCGACAGATATCTAGAATAATATATCAAAGAGGCAGAAATGAGGCCTTAGGGCAAAAAAGATGTAAGTTTAATGTCTTGTGAAGCATTCAAGGCCGGTGACTACTTTAACAAGACCAATTAAAGGGATAACGCCTGCCGTCTTTCCTCGTGAATCCCGTGCTATGCTGATTAATTAAGGAGCCTATTACTGTTAATGACGTTTAAAGTCCCAGCCTCGGGACAGAGCACTTAGTCATTCTAACAAATTCAAACAGTATACTCCAAAGTCAAAACTGAGGTATATTATTAGTATAAGTCGAAGGAGACATAAATATGTCACCTCTTTCACAGTGTAGTAAGAACGTCAGGTAGAGGAAAACATATCGCTCCTTCACATCCTCACTGACATGATTCCGAAAGTATGTAGAACATAAAAAACACATCATAGACAAGACAAATCGCCAGAACTACCAATATCTCGAGAAAAAGGTCGACTAAACCAGACACAGAACTACCAATATCTCGAGAAACAGGTCGACTGAACCAGAACTATCAATGTATCAATATATAACTTCGATAGACAAGACACATTTCCAAATACAGAACTGACAATCTATAGAGAAATAGGTCCACTAGACTAGACACAGTGCTATCAATGTATGGAGTAATAGATTCACTTGACAAGACACATCGAGAAAGGGGTCCATTGTACAAGACACATTACAAGACATAGAGCTGTCTAGAAATAACTCCAACATACTGTAAGGCATTGACAATTCCATCAGTCTAGCCATCGGAAAAAACGCAGCCATTTTATCAGAATTATTTTCCTTTTAGAATGGTACAATATCAGCAAAGCCCTGCATCGCAAATGGCCTTCAAATTCTCCAATACGGCTAACAAGTGGATCAAAAAAGTTAATCCATTTTATGGTGCTAAGTGTTATGATAGCCTTGTATAAACATCACAATCGCTAAAAGGGACGAGTTGGGTGAGCTCGCAATGACGAAATTTAATTTTTTTAGTCACCTTGACCTACTTTTTGAGGAACTGTTCGATTCACACTGATCTGGTCTTAGTGTCAATTCAAACAGAAGATATTCAAGGGGATACAGAAACGCTGAGGTTTGATAACATGGTGATGAATAGATTACACAGTCAAATTTGTGAGTCGATTTGATGATGAATACGGGTGCTTAATTTAAATTCTCGGAATTATTTTCTGTACTTGATAAATGACACAATATCAATGAAGAAGAAAGCTTCATGAAATTCTCAAATTCTAGTTTTTCTATTTGAATTTCTGTGTATTTGATTCTGACTAGGTCTGTCAAGGCGAATAGGCGGTTTTCGTTTAACGAATCCTTAATATCACAATGAAATTCAATTTAAAATTGATTATCAGTGCCTATATAACGAGTAGGTAGATGCATTAATACCACACATAAGACAATGAAAATACAATCTGAACCCGAATAATAAAAAAATAAAAACGCTTAGCGCAAGTCCATATCTAATGTGATATTTTCTGATAGTTTTTATTGAATTCTACGAGACGTATTGGTGACATTTAGATTACTTTATGTGCAAGACTTTTCTCTGATATCGAAGACTTAGACACATGTATTGAAGTACCCGTCAATACCTAAACACACGTCAACTTACAGAGGCGTGGTGTTGAGAATTAACGATTGGGATGTTAATCTCGTAAAGATGAATTTCAATGTTTTAATATTTGTCCTCTCAACCTACATTTGTTAAAACCAAAAACTCTACTCATTCTGGCACTTTATATTTCATTTGACATTAAGCGAATTCATATAAAACAGAGGGTAATGAGTGCCTACTTCTCCATTAAGTAATCACAGAGCTCCAGAAGATGGAACTGCTTTCATTTGTACAATGTCAATTTTTTCAGTATTTTTTCTGTCGGTACTTGTAATTAAAGATAGGCAAAGTTGTTTATAAATTGAATATTTCTTCAAATGAAGCTTTAGACAAGTAAATCAGTAATTAAAATTTAGACAGAAACCACGTTTATCTCAATTCCGACGTCCCCCGTGTCGGGCGTGCTTCTACAGGTGACATCAGAAAGAAACATAACGGTGTAATTCGTCATCAGCAACGAAATGATCGTGTGCTGACGTCTACCGCTGCTTCCTGTTAGAGAGAAAGCCCTCTGTTTCAATAGCTATATGTCAAGGGGGAACTTTTTACATGTGGCATGTCAATATTTTAATGTGGTGCCACAAGCAAGGTCGACTAGTGCATTTGCAATCATTTACCTGTGACATTCAATAATTTACTTTGGAAATGCGGGCATAAAAGAAAGAAAAATGCAGTCCATATATGTCAATCCATAATTCCTTTGAATGCGATGATTTTATTGAAAATAAAAATATTTATAACAAAACCTAATTGTTAGGACTTTATATAGCTATCTACAGACTTAATGATATTCATCAATATCCATTTAAATCACCTCCCATTTGATAACTAAGCAGTATTTGTGTTTTTACCAAATACGAAACTCGCGAACACTTACTAATTGATGCATTCATACACGTTCATTTCCGTTCATTGTTTGTTAACGATTGGTCACATCAGCCGAGAAAGAGTTCCTCATGGGGTTATCAGTGGTTATGGGAAATTGATACCATATGATACAATCGTGCATGTTAACAGTGGTATAAGACTTTGACACTAATCCCTGATTATTCCATTTAGAATGATATGATCTGCTTTACGTCCCGGAAATCACGTTAAAATCACGAACATGTAGCTGGCGAGTATTTTCGATGGCGAATCTTGCAATCAGATGACATTGGAGAATGTTTTAAAGAAGCTATCTTGGATCGGCAGACTTTCTACAGCAATTGTAGCTCGGGCATTCGGTGCAGTCAATTGATCTAAGCATATGATACCTTGGGGGTATTTCTCGGGATAATAAGGTACTGTAAGTTGTGCCACGCACCAAAACTGAAAAAAACATCATTTCAACACTTATATTCATCATTTTCAATTTCCCTCTTTTCCCCTTTTTTCTATTAATTTTTTTTTCTTGGGGGGGGGGGGGGGGGGGGGGGGGGGGGGGGGGGGGGGAGTAGGGGAGGGGGAAGTGATACGGGCGTGGGGAGGAGGAGGCAAACAATTGTAAACAATACTTGCAATTTTCATAAGCCATTAGCTTGCAATGTATTACGGTACAATGATACTCTCCATTGTAGCATCACAATCCTGCTAAAAGATGCCACATTTTGAAATCTGAAATTTCACACACATTATTGATACCAGAGTCCTTTAATTGGCTGATATTTATCTCATCTTGATTGAATTCTCTGTGAAAATTTCCAGGTTGTTATTGAGGATGGTACTGCCTGCATAAAGTTGTGTGTTGGACCATGTAACACGTGGTTTCAATATCTCAGGTCAAATACCTGTTGTAATACGTATAAATAAACAATGCCATTTGATCTAATAGCAATG